ACCTCTGTCTCCCCTCGTGGTCGTAGACGACTCCCCCTCATACTCCCCAGAGGAAGGAGTGGTCCAGGCAGGGACTCCCGAGAGGCAATCGCCCTCCGCACAAGAGGAGGCACAAGAGGTCATAGCCACCAAGGCCGAAGCCCCCTCTGGGGAGACTGAGGCGGTCCAGCCGCCAGAGGTCTCCCAAGAGGGATGAAAGTAGACAGCCCGGAGGAGGCGTGCAAGGCCTAGCCTTCACGCCACTCCGGGTGCTACAGGCGAACCTCAGCTGCGGCGCCCGGGCCCAGGACCTGTGTGTGCACAGGATCCGGGAACTGGGCGCCGGGCTGGGGTTGGCCACCGAGCGGATTTGGATGCCGATCAGCAGCGAATGCTGGTTCGGTAGCCCGGACGGCTCGGTGGCCATGGTGGTTGACCCTGCAGCGGGGACCCCTCCCTGTGTTTTAAGGGAAAAGGGGTCCTCGTACGTGGCGGTCGACTGGGGGCCCGTAACTGTGGTGGGGGTATATCTCCCCCACCACAGAAATAAAGCCGGACTTGGCCGTCCCGCCCGCATAAAAGGGATCCTAGACAGGTTCGGGGATCTGGTACGCACTGCCATCCCCGACCAGTCGTGATTGCCGGGGACTTTAACGCCCACTCGGAGGAGTGGGATTGTAGTCCCCGGCAACGGGATCCCAGGGGCGAGGTCGTCATCGGCTGGGCGGCGGGATTGGACCTTCTGTTGTTAAACAGAGGGTCCACCGGCACCTGTATAAGGTCGGGAGAGGGGTCATCGGTCATTGATTTGACATGGGCCTCCCTCTCGGTTGCAAGGTTGGTCTCCGAATGGAGGATGGAGGTGGAGGGTGAGACGTTATCTGACCATAGGTATATAGTCTGGCCCTCCACCTCCCCAAACCAAAACAGGTGTCGGCTCGCCGCCCAGGGGAGAGGAACTTTCCTCTCCCCAAAAGATGGGCCCTTAGTCGACTAGATGTGGACAGTTTCAGGGCTGCTGTCCTTGTGGCCACCTGGCACATAAAGCCAGTTGAGTGGGACCCCGGCCTCCTGAAAGGGGGCCGAGGAGATAACGGGGATAGTGGCGTCGGCATGCGACGCTGTGACGCCCCGTTCCCACCCCCGTCGGCGCCGGGCAGCGTATTGGTGGTCGGAGGAAATAACGAGACTTCGCAGTGACTCCGACTGCGCCAGAAGGGCATATACGCCTGCCCGTCGACGAGACGGGGATGACACAAGGGTAAAAGAGGACTACCTTGCCGCCAGGGTAGTCCTCAAGAAAGCCATCAAAAAGGCCAAGCGGGAAGCCTGGGAGCAATTGGTGAACTCCCTGGATGACGATCCGTGGGGGCGCCCATACAAGAGGACGATGGGGAAGATCCGTCCCTGGGCGCCCCCGCAGACGGAGACGTTAGACCCCCAGGCCCTCGATGGGCTCCTGGACGCCCTCTTTCCGAGGGCAGAAGGGGGCCCCCCGTGATCACTTCCCCAGAAATGGGGGAGGGAGACTGGGACGAAGGTCTGGAGGTCACTCCAGAGGAGCTCGCTAAGGCCCGGATAAAGCTCGGGGGCAAGGGCAAAGCCCCTAGCCCCGATGCGATTCCAGGCCGCACCTGGGCTCTCGCGTTGGCCGAAGGGGACCTGTCCGCAGCCACATGCAGGGTCATGAAAGGATGCCTCAGGGAGAGGGTCTTCCCCCTAGAGTGGAGGAGAGCCAAATTGGCCCTCCTTCCGAAGGATGGCAAGGAGCCCGGTAGTGCGTCAGCCTACAGCCCGATTTGCCTGCTGGACGAGGCGGGCAAGATGCTGGAGCGCATTATCGCTGGCTCGTCCAGCACATGTCCTCGAGTGGGCTGGACCTCCACCCCCGCCAGTACGGGTTCAGGCCCGGACGATCCACGATGGATGCAATCCAGTGGGTCCCTGACCCGGGCGGTCGTGGAGATTAGGGGCGGGGTGTTGTTGGCGGTGTCGTTAAACATATCTAACGCCTTCAACACCCTGCCCTGGCCGGAAATAGGACGGGCCCTCGAGCATTTCGGGGTGCCCGCCTACCTCCGGTGGATAATGTCTGCCTACTTCGGGGACTGAGACCTCGCCTTCATGAAAGAAGGCGGGGTTCAAGGCTGGCGCACTTTGGAGCGCGGTGTTCCGCAGGGGTCGGTGCTAGGCCCCCTGCTATGGGTCATCGACTTCGACCGGATTCTTCGCACTCCGCTCCCCGATGGCTGCCACGTCGTCTGCTACGCAGACAACGTTAGTGGTGGCCGAAGGGGAGAACTGGGGGGAAGCCCGCTTCCGTGCGGAGGTAGCAGTGGCGTCGGTGGTGGGAACCATCGGAAACCTGGGTATCAAGATGGCGCCCCAGAAGATTCAGGCTGTGTTCTTTCACGGCCAGCGTCGGGGGGCGCCGCCGGAGACCCGGGTCCTAGTCGATGGCGTCCACGTCCGCGTCGGGCCGACGATGAAATATCTCGGCCTGACGCTGGACAGCCGATGGTTATTTGGGCCTCACTTCAGGCAGCTGGCCCCCAGGGTGCGCAAAGCTGGACTGGCTGTAGCCAGGCTGATGCGCACCCAAGGGGGCCCAGGATGGCAGGTTCGCCGCCTGTATGTCGGTGCGGTGCTCTCGATCGCTCTGTACGGGGCGCCCATCTGGGCGCCCCAGCTGCTGGCCACTGCGATGGCCAGACGGCTCATGAGGCAGGCCCTCAGGCCTCTCATGATCAGGGCGATTCGAGGATACCCCACAGTGTCATACATGGCGGCGACCACACTGGCCGACTCCCCTCCCCTGTGGAGCTCCTGGCCGAAGAGAGGCGCGTCCTCTACTGGCGGGTAAAGGAGCTCCGGGAGTCCGGGGAGATCTGACGGCCAGGATCCTGAAGGCCCTAACGACCCAGGCCAGAGACCGGACCCTGGAGCGATGGGAAGGCGCGCTAGCCGACCCCCGAAGGTCCGGTCTCGCAACGGCCGAGGCTGTCCGCCCCTGTCTGTCCGAAGTGGCAGTGTCCTTCCACCTGGTGCAGGTATTGACCGGGCATGGTTGCTTCGGGAGATACCTGCACTGGATAAGGAAGGAGCCCACTGCTCGGTGCCACCACTGCCCCGAGCAGGAGGACTCGGCGCTGCATACCCTGGCTGCCTGCGCAGCATAGGATGAGCAGCGCCGTGTCCTGCTCGGGGCGGTGGACTGCCGTGACGGGGAGCTCTCGCTCCCGCACCTAGTGCGAGCTATGTGCGGGAGCGGGAGAGCGTGGGACATGGCGGCCTCCTTCTGCAAGGAGGTAATCTCCCAGAAGGAGGCCGCCGAATGGAGGCGCCGGCCTGGGAAACGCCGTCGCAGAGGACGGTGGGGCCGGCGCTTCCCGGGGGGGGGGGGAATCAATAGCGGGCCCGAGGTGGCATCGGACGAGGAGAGGCCGCTGGCCTACACGGGCCGGCACCTCCCTCCGTCACTCGGGGGGGGAGCGAAGGGGATACCTCCCACTCCCCCGAGTGATCGGATAGGAAGGAAAAGGGGAGGTGGACAATCCGAATGGGGTCGGACCCATTTCCCCCCCTCCCTGAATCTTTCAGGAATGGGGGGCGATAAGGAGGAAGAGTGGATATCCCCTTCCTCCTAGGAGACACCAGAAGGCCAACTGGCGGGGTTACCTGCCGGGGACCGCGCTCCTCCCACTAATTCCCTGAAAGGGGAAGGGGGAGTGCGGTACAAGAAGACGAGGGGCTCTTAGTTAAGAGCCCTGGGGCCGGGGGGTTGGGGAGGGAATGCGGGAGCAGTTCCCCTAACTCCCCTCCTCACGGTCCGACAGGTAGACATCCCGCAGGGGTTTTAGTCAGTAAGAGTCCGACATAACCCCCGCCCCCTTGGGGGACGGGGGTATCCATGATGGATTTCTCCTGCGTGAACAAAAAAAAGACAGGGGCGGACAGCCTCGGCTGTTCGGAGTCAGGAGTAGTCAGCCAAGATGACCGATCATCGCTCCATGGTCCGGGCTCTGGCCTGGGACTTCAAGGCCGCCAGGCCTCTGGCCGTTAATCCCTCCCCCTCCTCGCGGAGCTCGCGCACCTCCCAATAGAGGGTGCACCGCTCCTGTGCGAGGAAATCCACGGGGATGGGGAGCCGGCCAGGATAGTCGCCGCCATGTATGAGACAATGCGGATCCCCCGAATCGTCCTCACTACCACCAGCCGCATCGCCTGGCGCATCAGGCTGATGCTGCGGCCGGAGGCCATGAGCTAGGGCGCTCATATGGGCGCCCCATAGAGGGCAATCAAGAGAACCACATCCACATACAGGCGGCGAGTCCGCCATCCAGACACCCTTGGGTCTGCATGAATCGGACGAAGGCCAGACCCGCGCCGCGGACCCGGGGGACTAGGCGCCTGAAATGCGCCTTAATGTCCCAGCGGCTGTCCAAGGTCAGGCCCAGATACTTTATCGTGGGCCCGACCTGGACATGGACTCCGTCGACCAAGACCCGAGTCTCCGGCGGCGCCCCCCGACTGCCGTCATGAAAGAACATGGCCTCGGTCTTATGGGGCGCCACCTTTAGGCCAAGGTCTTTGATGGACCCCACCACGGACGCTAGAGTCGCCTCCGCTCGGAGGCGGGCTTCCCCCTAGCCATCCTCCCCGGCCACCACGAAGATATCATCTGCGTAGCAGATGACGTGGTAGCCAGGAGGGAGGGGAGAGCGAAGCATCTTGTCGAGCGCGATGTCCCACAGCAGGGGGCCGAGAACCGACCCCTGCAGGACACCGCGCTCCATAGTGCGCCGGCCCTGGATCCCGCCTCTGCCTGTGCAGGCGTGGTCCCTGCCCCCGAAGTAGGCCGATAGGATTCGCCGGAGGTAGACGGGCACCCCGTGATGTTCGAGGGCCTGTCCCACCTCTGGCCAAGGCAGGGTGTTGAACGCATTTATGATATCCAAGGATACCGCGAGCAACACCCCACCCTCCCTCTCCACGGCGGTACGGACCAAGTCTCGGACGTGCTAGATAGCGCCTAGCGTGGACTGTCCGGGCCTGAATCCGTATTGGTCGCCGTGGAAGTTCGACTCCTTCAGGGACAGATACTGGACGAGGCGGTCGGCAATGCGCTTTAGTATCTTGCCCGCCTCGTCCAGCAGGCATATCGGCCTGTACGGAGTACCCGGTGTTTTTCCCTCCTTCGGGAGGAGGACCAACTTGGCCGTTCCCCACTCTGAGGGGAAAATTCCCTCCCTGAGACACACGTTTAGAGCTTCTCACGTGGCGGTGGACAAGCTCTCTTCGCCGAGGGCGAGAGCCCAGGCGCGGCCAGGAATTCCGTCGGAGCCAGGGGCTTTGCCTCTGACCCCGAGCTTTCTCCTGGCTCTTGCGAGCCCCTCTGGAGTCACCTACAGGTCCTCGTTCCAATCCCCGTCCCATAACTCGGGGACGGGGATTTGGCCCCCCCTCCATCCTCGGGAAGAGGGTCTCGAGAAGCCCCTCGAGAAAGACCTGGGGTTCTAAGGATTCCATAGCCGGGAGCGCCCACAGACGGATTTTACCCACTGTCCGCTCTTGCCCCCACGGATCCTCGTCCAGGGAGCTCACAAGTTGCTCCCAGGCTCTCTTCTTCGCCTCGTCTATGGTGACCTTGAGGGCTCCCCTCGCCTGAAAGTAGCCCTCTTTCTCCCTCGCGGCATCCCCGCTGTCTCGCCAGGCCCGGGTGTATGCCCGTCTGGCTCGGACGGAGGCCTCGTGAAGATCAGCGATGGCCTCCGTCCACCAGCAAGCGGCTCGGTGCCGGCGGGGATGATACCGGGGCATCACGGCGTCGCAAACCGACGCCACGATGCACACCAACTCCCTAGCCCCCTCCTGGGGGCTAGGGTCCCAAGCACCGGACCCCCTATCTAGCCTGGTGGCCACGAGGGCGGCCGCCTGGAACTTGTCCGCGTCCAGCCGATTGAGGGCCCATCTTTTGGGGAGAGAAAAGTTCCCCTCCCCTTGGCGGCGGGCCAGCACCTGCTGAGGGTGGAGAGGCAGAGGGACCACGTTATGTAACGGTGGTCTGAGAGCGTCTCTCCCTCCGCCTCCACCTCCCACTCCCGGAACATCCGGGCGGCCGAAGGGGAAGCCCATGTCAAATCAATGACGGGCTTCCCATTCGGCCGAACGCAGGTGCTGATCGACCCCCTGTTAATCAACAGGAAGCCTAGTCTCGCCGCCTAGTCGGCCACGGCCCCGCCCCGGGGGTCCTCCTGCCGGTGACTGCACCCCGACTCCGCGGAGTAGGCGTTAAATTTCCCGGCAACCACGACGGGTCGGGGGTGGCACCGTCGTACCATATCCCCGACCCGATCGAGGACCCTCATAATCGGGACAGGCTCGCCGAGGCCGGCCTTATTTTTGCGGCGGGGGAGACCCTCATCACAGTAACAGACCCTCAATCGAACCAGCATGGACTGCTGATCGGGATCCAGTGCGGCTCAATGACCACCCCCAGCCCGACGCCCAGTTCCCTGATCCTGTGCGTCCACAGATCCTGAGCCCGGGCGCCGCGGTCAAGGTTGGCCTGTAGGACCCGGAGTAGCGTGAAGGCTGAGCCTTCTGCACCTCCTCCGGACGCCCTACTTCTTCTTCCTCGGAGGAGACGTCTGTCGGAGTGAACTGCTTAATCTCCGATTCAGTCGCCCCCGAGGAGGCTTCGGCCGTGGTGACCACTGTCGCGGGTGCCTCTTCGGAGGCACAAGGAGGCCCTACCTCTGCGGTGCCCTCCTCTGAGGAGTATGAGGAGGGGCCGCTCGAAGGGGGAGTCGGGGGTGGCGCGCCCTCCGACTCCCCTTCTTTTTCTAGGGTTGGCAGGGGTGAGGCCTCAGCCTGTATCCGCCTTACCTTCCCGTCTGTCTCCTTCCCTAATGAGGCTGTCGCGGCGTCCTTTCCGTCTCTCTCTGCGCTGATGTCCCCTTCAGGCGCCGCTCTCCTTTTCCCACTCTGGCGCCTAGGTTTCTCCAATAATTGGCTATCATCGTCGCAGGCGTCCGTCTCCAACTCCATGGGAGCCGGATCCTTCTTTTCGGGAGAGGCCGGCCTGGCCTCCCCCGTCCGCGTCGGGTTCCCCGATGCAGGAGAGGCCGGCTTGGCCTCCCCCGAATCCCTCGTTGCAGAGGAGGCCAGCCCGACCTCCCTCCTTCGCTCCGTTAAATCTCTCTGAGTGGGAAGGGTGCTCCCTGCATCCCCTCCTCCTTCTTGTCCACTAAGCCTTCTTACCCCGTTCCTCTTCCTCTTCTTCCCTGGAAGAAGTTTGCAGGCCGGACCACCGATTTTGTGTCCGGCCGGCCTACCGGCATCTGCGCACACGGCGCAGTGAGCAGTCGCCGCCTGGTACTGATTGGCACGGTGACCGGGGCTACCGCAGTGATAACAGCAATCACTACGGTCGACGGCGCTAGTGCACCGCCCGCACACGTGACTCTGTTCCAGACACTTGAAACAGATCACGGCACGGGCGGGCAGCGCCGTCACCCCGGCGCGAGTCCATCCCACTTGGATCCGCCCCGCAGCGGCTACCTTAGCGGCCGCCGCTTGCGGACACCGGACCACAATCGCCGCCATCTCCCGCTGGGAGACGCTCAGTCCGCTAGCGGAAACCTCCGCCTGCGAGCATCCCCCAGCTTGGGACATGCGACCACCACCTCGTCGGTCCCGATCGTCAGGTCGAGGCCGGTGAGCCGCAACGCGGTAGTCCTAACCGGCCTCTAAACCCTATAATCGGAGCCTTTTTCTGCCGCCAGCCGGCGGAGTTCTTCCGCCAACCGGTCGGTGGGTGCCCCCGAGTTGGAGTCAGGCACCTCAATAAGCATCGCATCCGTGAAGGCCTGACGGACCTTTAAGGTCCTAGGGTTCCCCAGGTCTACTGGCTTTATGAGACGCCTGGCTTCCTGCATGAACTCCTTGTAGGAGTTCGGGGAGGGGCAGATAACAGTGATGGTCGCTGAGCGAGGCGGCTTCAGCCCCCCACGCCGCGCGATCGCCGGTCCTCCCCCTCCAGGCCTCGCTGTTACTGGAGCGACGGGTTGATTCTCCTTCGTCTCGTCCTCTTTCTTCTTCCTCCTCTCCTTTCTGCCCACCACCTTGGCCCAGGACTCCTCGGTCGGGGTGGATGAAGGCTGGGTGGCACCTGGAGATGTCGTGTTGTTCCCCTCCGGAGGGAGAGCATCTCCGCTCCCCTTTGTCCTGCAATCGGGACCTTTCCCCCCTTACCAGTTACTTTGATGGCATGGCATCTGGAGACCCCTTGGTCCGGCACCTTCCCTTGGACAGCCATCTTGGCGACGATTTTGGAGGGTTCGCTCCCACGTCCCTCCTGGCCTGTTGGTCGGGCCTGGGTCGTTGCCTCCACAGCTTTCTGTTGTCGCCTCAGTCGCCGCCGCTCCCTCCTCCTTCTCTCCTTGTCCCGGAGCACCTTCCTCTGCGTTACCGTACGTTGCACCAGCGGTCCCCCCGCACTCCCCACCCCCGTCAGGTTGGCCGTAGTCCCCCAGGCAGGAGGGATCGGAGCAGCGGGAGGGAGGTTCCGCGGCACTGGAGTGGGAGCCGCAGGCCCTGTCCTCCCGGCCACCCGGAGCCTCTCCCTCGCGTCAAGGAGGCGGCTGATCTCATCAGAAATCCGCTTATGTTCCACCTCCTCGCACAGGGGAAGCCCCAAGGTGGCCAGGGAGTCATCCAAGGCCTTGCGGACTCCCTTAATTGGTGGCCTGTATGCTGGAGGGGGGTGACTTCTCCGGCAGATTGTCGTTGTACGACGGTATCTCGCCGGAGGCCTCCCCCTTCTTGTCCTCCTCCGATGAACTGGAGTAGGCCTAAGCCGGAATCGGGACCATTACCTTCCTCTTCTTCTTCCTCCTCACCACTTTGGTCCTCTCCGGTTGCATGGTGGCCTTCATAGCAAAAGCGCTGCCCCTAGCAACCTCCGCATATGTCCTGCGTCTGGGAGATGGGGGGCCATCGGGGCGAGGTGTGGGGCGGCAGAACAGGCGGCGGCCTTCTTGGCCGCAAGCTCCTCCTGGGGCCGCCTGTTCTCCACCCTCAACCCCCTCAACTCCTCACGTAGCTCCCCTATCTCCCTCCCGGTTTCCGTTACGGCGCCCTTTCCCCCCTCCTGAGCCGCAACTTTCGCAATGAGGATTGACAGAATGGCTTCAGAGGTAGCCACGGCACGGTAGACCAGTAACACGAAGGTCCTCTTCAAGTTTTGGACCTCCGTGCCACCAATCTCACCGCATCGAGTGCAGGGCCTACCTGCACTGAGGCCAGTTCTGCTGACTCCGCCCTCTTCAATAAAGCCCTGGTCGCGGGATTTATGTAGACCTGCTCGGCAGGACGGTTATCCCTCTCCGTCCAGAGAAGACCCCTGCCGAGGAGGTCCTCCACCTCCCGCTCCAGTCGCTCTATCCTCTCTTCCTCCTCCTTCTTCTTTTTCTCTTCCTCCTTGTGGCGTTTCCCCACCCCCTGTCCTGTGGTGACTGGTCGTCCTCTGCCCCTCTTTTCAGGCTCCAACACCAATATTTCGGTGACGGAGCCTGAACTGCTACTCACCTTGATTTCTTTACCGGAGCTGCTGTGGTTCGCTTGGATCCCATCGGGCCTGTCCCCGTAGCTCTGTTGACATGATAACATAGGGGCCCCGTCCCGCTACTGCCACCTATGCGGGCTTCCGCTGGTCCACCAATCTCATTTTTGAACCTCGGGAGTGGAATATTGGAAACCACCACCGGTTTTCCGGTGGTGGTCCCCTTATTAATATGTGCCATCGCCGGCTCCCCAGCGGTGGTCCCTCTTTTTGGTTCAGTCCCCCTCTTAGCAGAAGAACGTGGCCCGGGCTTGTACGTCCAAGATGCTCCGTCTGAGTTTTCACTGAGCCCTAGGGACTTTGGTGTGGGTGATCCCCCGCTGGATGGCCGCCCTTCTTCGCAGTCACGAGGGCTCATCTCACCTACCCTCTGGTGAGGGTGGTGCTTCTGGCTGCTGCCGGCTGCCGGGGTCTCTGATCTCCCGTGGCATAGCCGTCCGTCTTCTGGCCGCGGGCTCATGCGGTGCGCCCCCCGGCGAAGGTTGCCTTTTCGGCGACCGTCGGGGTTGTTCCCTCGTTGGGCGGCCGCTCGCTCTTCAATCTCCCGCGCGAGCTCGCCCGGCCAGCTCCACGGTTGAAGCGACCCTTCTGACCTCTGGTCGGGGAGGACCACGACCGCTTAGTGAACACTTTGTGACGTACTGAATGTACGCTCAATACGGCATTTAGCACAATCGCTCATTAAATGTTCATATCCGTTTCTAACATAGTCAATTAAACCTTAATTTGAGTTTATACTCTCTGTAGACCAAATCTGAAACCCAGAATAAAGATTAATCAACGTTGGTGTGAAACGGGTATCAATGAGCGCTCAATTAGCACCCTAAGTCAATTTATTAGATGCAAAACTCCCTAACTACTTATAGTGAGTACTCACCATATTTATAAGCGTAGTTTTACATCGCTCATTTCGCTCACTCAGCTCACTTTAAGATTATTCTACATTAATCGCACAATCATAAGTTACAAGAAATTGGGCAATTGCAATTTATTATTTTTATTGCGAGCGAAGAATATTAGATTGCTATTGACGAATTTCTTGCGACTTGCAACTTTATGACTAATAGACTATAGACTAATAGACTAATATGACTATAGAGTGAATTTTATGCTCCTTTTCATTTTTTTCGCGCCAACGCAATATCCCTAAAGATTAATAACTAGTATAATTCTTGTATTATTTTTAATTGCACCAGTTCAACAGTGCAGCTACAAAGAACAGACTATTTTTCTTACTTTAACTTATTGTACCAGTTCAGTAGTGCAGCTGGAAAGAACAGACCATATATCACGCATAAAATATTAAAGAATTTTCATATTAGTGCACTAAATAATATCATTTAAAATGCCAAGACGTATTATTATGATGGTTTTACAAAATGAAATAGAAGATGATATGATTATTCAAAATATAGTAAATTATGAAAATGATTTATATGGAGACGTGTTAAATAATAGAAATTTGCATTTTCATAATGAAAATTATTTTGAAGTGACAATTCCATTGTAT